AGCAATCAAATGTATGAATGCAACAAGTAGAGAACGCCCTACAAAAATACACCGTAAGTAACAAATTTCACATTTACAAAAATGCAAACAGCGCCCTCTAGTGGATTCGTTGTCTACCCTAGGTGACATATTGCATATTCTTAAAAATGTAGAAAGCACCCTCTAGTGGATTTATCATGTGAAATGTACAAAAAGTTCCCTATTTTGGATTCACAACACTAAAAACAGCGCCTTCTAGTGGATTGTTCATTTGAAAATTACAATGAAACATCTCTTTAGCAACGTATAGCACAAACGTAGGCTGAGGCACGATGAGTCTGTGCTGCAATAGTGTATAGAGTCTTTCTGCAGTTTATTTCTGAGTAATAATGTGTGTCTCTGTGAATTTATCAGCGATGATAATTTGATTCTCTGTGTGTTTTTGTTCTGTTTGAGTAGAGATAATGCAAGAAGGATCAGCATCAGCGCTGGCAATCAAATATATGAACGCTTAACATTCCCGAGCAGAGATCACCTGATGTGTGTGTTTTTAAAGACAGACGGAGAGCCAGTTTTGTTGTGTGTTGTTTATCATGTCAGTAAATCACACTGAACTAATCTGTGGCGGGAGAGACACGCTGGAACGGATCAGTGGTTTCTTGGCAGCGTTCTTGGCAAGTCTGTCATCAAAGACGGCGGATGGAAGCGACATTTTCTCCTTCTCTGCGACTCTGCCAGCGGCGACAGAGAGAAGAAAAGCAGCGGGAGAGAGAGTCTCTGCGACCCGGACACATCCTCTTCTGTCAGCTTCATCAGGGGGGAATGCCATCAAATGCTCTTTTGTCAGATTTACACCCTAAAACTCTGGTAATCCCGCAAATTGCTCCGAGTAGCCACTTTCATATTTTGTGTGTTTCGTAGACATGGGAGAACAAGGATTTATTCTGCCTAAAATGAGCAGTTGTGGGGTTCGAAGGAGAGCAGGAGCTGCTCTGTGTTAAATTATTAGTTAACCCAGAATTCAAAATGACATTATTAATTACTATCCCTCGTGTTGTTTCAATACTCTGACAGCTTCATTCACAATTAAGATGTTTTAGATGAAATGCGAGAGCTCCCTCATCCTCCATTGACACTAGCCTCTGCTAGAGTAATTCTGTCATTCCGAGTTCATAATAGTCCAGAAGGTGATGATAATAGTTAAGCATGGCAGTGTGTTCATGTTTTAGGTTGCTGAAAGAATCATTCGCTCCTTTGATTTTTCATGCTTCACTCTCACGTTTGTCTGTTTCTGAAAGGATCAGATGTCAGAAGCTCTTTAATAATCACACTAACGTTATTCTCATCAACTCAAGAAGCTCCTTATTTCAAGTATAGATGTGTGTTGAGCTCATGCGAGAAAGCATACCGCCTTTTGAAAGGGTACCCAAAAAGTGGTATGGTGTGGTTCGCTTTTAGGTACCTTTAGACATTGAAAACGACCAAAAAACCGTACTAAACTGTACCATACTGTACTGTACCAAGCAGTGGAAACGGGCTATGAGGGTTCCAAAAAACTGGACGTCCAGAAAAATCATTCTCAAAACATCACTTGTGTCTTCAGTGCGTCATTTGAAGCTCCAAGAACATTTTTGTGTGCAAAACTACTGTAAAAGTAACTCCAGAGTCTCCTGCGTCAGGTCAGGGTGTATGTTTACTATGGGCGGTGTATGCGTGTTGTTTTAGCGCTATAATGGCATTTTTTTCTATAGTTGCTACGGTAACACAAAAACTATAGTAATTGATCTGTTGTGGTAGTTCTATTGTTCTTATGGTAACACAACAACTATTGTAATTGATTTGTTGTGGTAATGCAGTAGCTGCTATGGTAACACAACAATTATAGCGAATCATATGTTGTGGCGATTCTACAGTTACTATGTTAAAACCACAACTACAGTAATTGATCTGTTGCGGTGATTCTATAGTTACTATGGTAACACATCAACTATCGAAATTGCTCTGTTTTGGTAATTATGTGGTTTCTATGGTAACACAACAGCTATAGTAATTGATCTGCTGTGGTGATTCTATAGTTGCTATGGTAACACAACTTAAATGATCTGTTGTAGTAGTTCTATTGTTGCTAGGGTAATACTACTGCTATAGTAATAGATCTGTTGTTGTAGTTCTGTAGTTGCTTTAGAAACAAAACAACTAAAATGATCTGTTCTATAGTTGCTAAGGTAACACAACTTTAGTAATTTATCTGTTGTGGTGATTCTGTAGTTGCTATGGTAACACAACTTAAATTATCTGTTGTATTAGTTCTATAGTTGCTAAGGTAACATGACAACTACAGTGAATGATTTGCTGTGGTAGTTCTGTAGTTGCCATGGTAACACAACGCCTATAGAAATTGATATGTTGTAATTCTATAGTTGCTATGGTAACACAGCCACTATAGTAATTAATATGTTGTGATCATTCTACAGTTGCTATGGTAGCACAACTACTTTACTAAAATTATCAGATGATGCATTGCTAAAGTTTTCTATAACTATAGTGTATATTATACCGCAGTTTACTGTAGTAAAAACTAACGTAAATTATAAATATTTGCTGAAGTTGATCAGTTGTAAAGCCATATTTCAGCAATAGTTATTACTACAGTATGCTGCAATATTCACTAACAATGAGTCATAATACACTTTACTAAAGTCAATGGTTCATAAACACTTTAAATGACTGTAGTATTTATTTTGTCATGTGGGAGGGTTTGGACTTTACTCTGAACCCCTGCCGCTGAAAAGAAAGATATAATTCCTTTCTTTTGAAAAGTACTCGACACATTCATTGTAGGCCATCATCGGCAAAACAATTAGTGTATGCTTGACGGAGCTCTGACAGATCGCGCTCATAAACGCGTAACACCGGGGTCACTGGATGCACACGCACAATCAAACGCTCCATTATAGCGCTGTTTGTGTCTGTCTGGACGCCGTGATGCTGGATGAACCGTACCGAGGGCTGGAGGAATGAGATGAGCGTTAACAATGACACATTGATACGCCAGCGTTTAGCGTCGCCGGTAAATACAGCCAGCTGATCAATGAAAATATGAGAGGAATATTAAAGGCGCTCCACATCCGCCACTGCGGCTTTCATGAGCAGCTTTTAAAAAATAAATGGCCTTCACTCAGTGCTGGACCACGAACACAATCAAGCACTTGAGGGAGAGTACTGAGCAAAAGATACTCCAGTAAGACTATAAAACCCTTATTTTTCTATTTTACATAAGTCAACCCACATGAAATGAATGAATACTGTGGTAATACTGTAGTAACTGTGTGAGTGTTTTAAGAATTATTAGCATTCATCCAAATGCTATTGAGTTTTATATACACTACAAACAAGTGTTATGATTGACAATATGTATTTACTCACTTTGCTTTTTGATTTAACTCACATAACTAGCTAAACAAGTACATTTAAAATGTTCTTTACAGTCGTAAACATATATAAACACTAAATATGTATGAGAAACAGTATTAATATTAACTTAATTGCTGTTAACATCAGTTTAACCTATGCTTTAATTATTGTCAGCATAAAGAGCAT